CTTCTTCTGGCATACCCAGGTTTTGCTGCCATACAACAAAGTCGGTACCAACACTGCGTTATGTATTGCAAGGCGTGCACTCTTCACCATGCCTTGCCTTTTGACTAATGCATTCAGGGCACCATTGACTTTGTTTCCGGCAGCGACACGCCTATCCACATCTAAATCACATCTTCCATCCAGGCTGAAAGCACTCCCCAAGTATACAATTTCATTTACCTGTTCTAGACATTCCTGATTTACCCATATTTCACATTTCGTTCTCTCTTCGTCCTTTTCAAATACCAGAACCTTAGTTTTATTAGCATTCAAACGGAGACCATTAATTTCACACTCCTCTTTCATAGACGTGACTAATACCTGCAGTTCTGGTGCAATGAGCACTGGATCATCAGCATACAGCAGACAATTTATTTTAATGTCACCCAATTTCACACCCAAACAGCTATTTTTCAGCTTCTGTAAACAGCTGTCGAGATACAGTATGAACAGCAAGGAAGACATGACACATCCCTGTTTTACGCCGGCTTGGACGCTAAACATGGGTGACAGGTCAAGCCCACACAGGCTTTACAGTCATAGTAAAGTGACTGCACAGCCCTTAACAATCGACCATCCACACCACATCCCGGCAACAGTTCCCACATTTTCTTCCTTATAACCTTATCAAATGCTTTCTCCAGATCCACAAAAGCACAGAAAATCCTCTGGTTTACACTCAGAAGCTTTTCCGTGATCATGCGGAGAGAAAAAATTTGATCCGTGCATCCTTTTCCAGTCTAAATCCGCATTGTGCCTCCCACAAGAATCTTTCCGATTTCTCTTGCATCCTACGTGTCAAAAGCTTCGAGTAAACTTTACTTGCTAAACTGGTCAAGCTGACTGCCCGATAGCACCCGCAGTCAAAATGTGAACCTTTACCTTTATATATATAGGCACAATGACCGCGACACTAACTACTAACAAGGGGCCAAGCCTCTTTTACTGGTTCGCCAGTTATTTTGCTGTGGACTCCGGTCCAGTTCCCGAATTAACGTTCCCTTCGGGGGGAGTGCATCAAAATGGTTGGCTTTACCGCGCACGGCGTGTGTGGAGCCGTGTACCTCCCCTACATTTTTTTTTTAATAAATGTAGGAGAGCGAAGCCCTTGTATCGGGTATTTTGTGTAAATATATTTTGATCCTTTTCCGAGCGGGAAGGGATAATTAATAATAAATAAATAATATAAACTTGATACAAGTGGAATAAGGACTTTTATGTTCTTAACATTTCTCGAGCCCTGTCTTCGTGAAAGGGGTTCACTTCGCTTATAAGGCACTACCAACGGATTTCAATTGCTGTAGTGAATATTCATTTTTCCAAAAGACACCTAAAAGAACTAAGTTGCTAACTAAGACGATCACGACAAAATATTACAAACGGCCTATTATTAAACCTTTAGAAAGATCATTTAGAAAGATTTTATTAATCCTGGTCACATATATATATATATATATATATATATATATATATATATATATATATATATATATATATATATATATATATATATATATATATATATATATATATATATATATATATATATATATATATATATATATATATATATATATATATATATATATTGTTATTGAAATTAGTCATATTAATTATATTTAATATAATATTGTTTTTTATATAGGGGGGGGGGCGTTACAATATGTAAGAAAACTGAAATGAAAGAAAACACATGTATCTACGAATTTCAACAACTTATGTAATGGTTTTATTGTCTTACTTTTAAATCTTTATTGATAATAGAGAGTTTGATGTAATAGATTCGTAGGTACATATCAAATACACATAAATAGATTAAATAATTAAAAAAATGATATTTATAATATCATTATTTAGTGAGTAATAATAAATTTACTAATCAATAATAAAAGATTATCTATTCTTAATACCTAAAAATACTAGTTCATAAAGTTTTCTTGCCTTATCCGACAATGGAACAGCTTAGATACTATTATATAATTCAACTCTATTTTTTATTTTACAAAACGTGTTTTCTACCAGCTAATATATATATATATATATATATATATATATATATATATATATATATATATATATATATATATATATATATATATATATATATATATATATATATATATAAATTGGGATAGCAATGATATTCGTGATATTGATTTTGCACCAATTACTGAAAACCCCAATAGTAACGTTTTTTTGGTGCGACAAACTTTAGTTAAAAGGTTTTTTTTCTTTCTGTTAATTGTTTTTAATAAATAAAAATTCATCAATCAAATTACAATACTTGTATTTTAAATCATCATTATACTAAAAATAAACAAATAAGTTAGAATCATATATTGTTTTCTTTAGTTCCTCGAATTGTATTTTAGCTTTTTGCAATAACATTTTATTTCTTTTTTCCTCTAGCAATGCAGCATTTTTAATTTCCTCAACTTCTAACTGTAAAGAAAAACATAAGTACGTAAATCAATTTTGCAAACAATTAACACAGTTTTCCATTGGCTTATGATATATTGAGTAGTATTTTAACATTAAAATCAAACCACAAAATGATAATGGAAATATTCTATTAAAGGAATTTGCGTTTATGACGAAAAAAAATGAATTCCCCAAATTGTGTCAAATGTGGTAAAGTGAAAGATTTCTTTCATTTCGATCTTTTTCTTATTTTCTAAATGTTTGATCCCCATAACAGCCTCCCGACGTATGTAGTCAATGGGTGTATGCACTTCAGTCTTGGTTACTGCTGAATAATTTTGACCAGTTTGGTCTATAATAGGTACATATTGTAACGCCCCCCCCCCCCACCTATATGAAAAAAAATATTATATTAAATATAATTAATATGATTAATTTCAATAACATTATATATATACATATATATATATATATATATATATATATATATATATATATATATATATATATATATGTGACCAGGATTAATAAAATATGTTTTAATTTTTTCTAAATGATCTTTCTAAAGGTTTAATAATAGGCCGTTTGTAATATTTTGTCGTGATCGTCTTAGTTAGCAACTTAGTTCTTTTAGGTGTCTTTTGGAAAAATGAATATTCACTAGAGCAATTGAAAGCCGTTGGTAGTGCCTTATAAGCTCAGTGAACCCCGTTCACGAAGACAGGGCTCGAGAAATGTTAAGAACATAAAAGTCCTTATTCCACTTGTATCAAGTTTACATTATTAATTTATTATTAATTATCCATTCCCGCTCGGAAAAGGATCAAAATATATTTACACAAAATACCCGATACATGGGCTTCGCTCTCCTACATTTATTAAAAAAAATGTAGGGGAGGTACACGGCTCCACACACGCCGAGCGCGGTGAACGCCAACCATTTTGATGCACTCCCCCCTAAGGGAACGTTAATTCGGGAACTGGAGCGGAGTCCACAGCAAAATAACTGGCGAACCAGTAAAAGAGGCTTGGCCCCTTGTTAGTGCGTAAGCTCAAACATCGACCGAAGTCGCGCATGTCAATGCGTGTAAACACCACACAGAATACGAACGAATCCAGCCACAGTGAATGTACGTCACAGGGTTTAGGCAAATAGGCACTCTGGCCGTAAGCCCTCAGTGAGCGCCACCACCTGCCATACCGCCGCTCCTGTAGACGTAATGTAAGTGTATGGCATCACCACCAGCTGCATGATCAGCACGGCTACTAGCCGCAGAGCGTGTCATGAGTCTACCGCTCACCTCAAGGGAATGGGGTCCCACGTTGTGCGGCTTTCGGCCGCAGCCTTGAGAGTCTCCTCAGATTCTCTCACCAGCTACCACCCGCATGAGGTCGACACATATGCTCCACCAACCAATACAACGGCAGATATAGCCAAAAGGCAGTTATAAGATAAGAGTAATAATTCGCCATCAGAAAGGGTTTGTGTCACTGACGTTGAGTAAATGCATTTTCGATCATGTTTTTCGTGATTTGTCTCAGCACCAACAAGTTTCCTTAAATCATTCAAAGGTGGGAAAGTTACAGAGATATATTATTATGTTGTTATATAAAATATCGTGGAGGGCAGACAGTCTGCAGCCCCATAATGAAGGGACCCGACTTGGGCAAAGCTAGTCAGGTGTGAGTAAAACCAAGACGCAGAGAGCGCCATTGAGAATAGCTTCCCACCAAACAACCATCGCAGAGACGCAATGCTGCAGAATGCAACAAGCATCAATACGACTCTCGTCGGGCTTACACCATCCCAAGGTCCCCCATACATCCCAGCATACATCACCACCCGCATACCTCCATCAACTAGAACCACAAGAATGCGTCGAATCAGGCGCAGCACACCCGCAGATCCATCACAAGACGCAATACCGCAAGAAACAGTAAGCATCAATGCAACTATCATACGGATGGCGCCACCTCACAACACACCTACATAATCCCTATCGACTTTGGTAACAAAGTTTGTATTGTTGTTTACTAAAAACTGCACCAACGTATTATAGTAGCACGCTACTAAGACGCCAGTGGACAAAAGCACGCTACTAAGACGTCAGTACGGTCGCGGACACCGCGCGCGTTACACGATGTTACGCTCTCCTCCCGCCTCTCGCGACCGCGACAAAGTAATAAGTGACAACAGTGTAGCTAAGTGCAAAGACTGTGAAGTGGTGATCAATAAATTACTAGCTTTTGTGGCGAATAAGGTTGACACATTAGCCGAGCTTGGACTTATACAAATATGTTTGAGTGCCTACTCCTATGACGATATCGAGTTCGCAAGACAAACTGTATATAAATTACTTGCCCCACAAAAAAGGATTACTAGGCGTAAGGAAGGGAGTTAGAAGAATAGTCTGCAGGAAATAATAAAGCTAATAAAAGAATTTGAGCCGGACTGCCTGCCCGTTTTTGTGGCAAAGGATTTAAACAAGTTACCGCCAGTTACTTTTGATAGCATCCATGTGACAACGTTCCTTAAGGATATGGCTTTATTAAAAAAAGAGATCGCAGCTTTACGCACAAGCTCCAATCCCTACAGTTCCTCTCTGGAATCACTCAAAAAAGATCTAGCTGACGTTAAGCTTGCATTGAAGGAGCTGCAAGAAAAAAGAATTGGGTTTAACCCTGCAACCTGTGATACATATTCGTCTCCTATATCTTGTGAGGACAAGATTCCCGGAAGGCGGGTAGTTAAGAATAAAAGTGCACAGAAATTGCTGTTAGCCGAGATAAGCTCGCACGCGTCCACACCGGCCGCTCCCCTTCCACCAGAGCCCATAGTGAGGCCATCATGCTCACCTACGACATCGCAAGGCGCAGCGAACAATAAATCAGTCCTACAGTCCAGCGGCACAGATTCTAAACAATTGTCCAGTCAACCGAGTTATGCTAAAGTTGCGGACGGTTCTGACTTGGGTCCTAAATTTGCGCTTGATTGTGATTTATTAACCGTTTCTGAACACAATTATAATGTAAACAATTCGCAAGTTCTGTCACTAACACCGATAAAAGAGGGGAACTGGACTACAGTGACGAGTGAACGTCAAAAGAGACTAGAGAATAGAAAAGGAAAAGCGCATCCAATAAGCAAATTTAATTTCAAAGCAGCAGAAAGAACCTTATCCCTGTATATATATCACGAGTACACAGAGATAGTACGGCGAATGACATTGCTGGCTTTATTAAGTACAAGACTCAACTGGAAACGGTAGTTACTAAAATTAATACGTACGAAAATAGTTTTAATGCCTTTAAAATCACAGTACCGCTTCATAAGGCTGATCTCTTTTTGAATGATGAGGGGGATCAATTTTGGCCCGCGGAAATTGTTTTTAGAAAGATTAGAGAGCGTGGGTATCACCCCGTACAAAGAGAACCAAGGAATGAGAACAAAATTACTAATAAACAATATGGATAAATCCGATATATCATTTATTTCCTTCAACTGTAAATCAGTTAAACGATCTCTTGTTCAAATAAAAGAGAGTTGTGTAAAAAATGCCACTTGCTGGCACTCCAGGAAACCTGGTTGTTCCCACACGATCTAGGTTTTCTTAATACAATAGACTCAGAATTTGAATCCTGTGGAGTATCGGCCATTGACACGTCCGAAGGACTAATCCGCGGAAGACCCTGTGGTGGTGTAACACTTCTATGGAATAAGCGAATATTTCCGAGTGCGGAGGTCATACCTTGCTTTAAGAACAGGATGTGTGCTGTGAAGTTAAGCCAAGGAAATAGACACTCGTGCTCGTTCTAAGTGTTTATATGCCTACTAACAGTGACGACAACCTAGCGGAATTTACAACCTGTTTAGGAAATATTAGTGCAGTGATAGAAAGTGAGGATATAAGAGATAGAAAGAGAAAGATAGAATCAGTTTTTGTTCTAGGTGATTTCAATGCCCACCCGGGTTTACTTTTCGCAAACGAACTATTAAATTACTGTCATGAGCAGTCATTAAGTTGTGTTGACATCGATGTTCTAGGTAAGGAATCCGACACGCGCACGTTTGTAAGCGATGCGCTCGGGACATGTCGATGGCTCGACCACTGCATAGTGACTGCGGCCGCCGCTAGCGCAGTGAGTAGTGTGTGTGTATTATATGACGTCTACTCGTCGGATCACTTTCCGTTACTTGTTCAGTGGACTATTAGTACAATTATACCTATAGAAGTGACTAATTTAACTAGTAACAAGCCAAAGATAGTATGGGGCAGTAGAGACTCGGCGGAAATTCGGAAATATAGTACCTTATGCGATTTTAATTTAAATAATCTTTTAAGACAAATGAATGTTTTTAATAATAATATTATGTGTAACTGTGATATAGTTTGTAAGAATAGTGACCATTGTACTTCACTAAATGAATTTTATAATAATTTTATTAAGATATTACAGACTAGTGCAGAGAATAGTTATAGGCAAATAAAAGATAAAAAGCCATTTGTGACTGGTTGGAACTATCATGTGAGGCGTCTACATGTTAAGGCTAGATTAAAGTTTAGTGTCTGGGTTGCTGTTGGCAAACCATCTTCTTTTTTTTATTATTATAATGAAATGTCTTCTGCTCGTAAGGAATTTAAATCCGCACTTAAATTCATTCAAAATCATCAAGAAAAGATAAAGTTAGATATATTGGCCCGAAATAATAAATCGAAAAAATTTGGAAAATTTTGGAAGGAGGTGAAGAAATTAAATCCTAAAGCGGGTCGTCCTATTAGTATCCAGGGTGAGGTGAATCACACAAAGATAGCTAACATTTTTAAAAATAATTTTAATGTTGACGTGAAAAATGAGCAAGATACACCCCAATTAACTACTCAGAATCATACCTTGTTGAGTACAGAAACATCTTATGCTCAGTTAAGTCTCCGGGACGTGACTACCTGAGTATAGAGCATCTGTTGCATGCCGGTCAGTATATTTGTGTAGTCCTCTCTGCATTATTTGACTTATGCATGCGCCACTCATACCTGCCAAATAATCTATTATGTACCATTGTGGTGCCGCTTCCGATGTGTAAGACTGGAGATCTCGCAAGCATGGCTAATTACCGACCTATATCTCTTGCCACTGTTGTGGCCAAGGTATTTGAGCGTTTGATTCAAGCCAAAATTACACCCTACATGAGTCATCATTGACGATAGTCAGTTTGGTTTTCGACTAGAGCTATCTACAGATATGGCTATTTTTGCCTTAAAACAAGTAGTAAATTACTATATTGATCGCGATACTAGTGTATATGCCTGTTTTCTTGATTTGAGTCGCACTTTCTATACTTTGAATCATGATCGGCTATGGAAGAAGCTAAGATCTAATAACGTTCCTGCTGGTATTGTTGACCTGCTCACTTATTGGTATAAGAGACAGATCAATAATGTAAATTGGTGTGACTCTCTGTCCGGTGAATACTCGCTGACTTGTGGAGTAAGGCAGGGGGGGCTTACCTCACCCGAATTCTTTAACATCTATGTGAATGACTTGATCGTGGAGCTGAGCAGAACCCCAGTCGGACTTAGGCTTGGCAACCGTTATGTTAACAACCTAAGTTACGCTGACGATATGGTTCTGCTTAGCCCTACAATCAAAGGTATGCGGAAATTAATATCCATATGCGAAAAATTTGCTAAAGATCATAGTTTAATTTATAACGCAAAAAAAGACGGAGATGGTGATTTTTAAGGCGGGCAAGGGTCCAACTAATATACCTGAGGTGCACGTGGCGGGTCAACCGGTTGAAATAGTTCAAACGTTCAAATACCTCGGTCACATAGTGACAACGAACAGAAAAGATGATTGCGATATAGAACGACAGAGAAGAGCTTTGTCTGTCTGTGACAATATGATTGCCAGGAGGTTTGTTAAAGCCTCCAAGGAGGTTAAGGTTATGCTCTTCCAAACGTACTGTCAGTCTTTCTACACCTGCAGCTCTGGACTGAATATGCGGGGCGATCTTTGAATGGTATTCGTGTGCAATATAATAACATCTTTAGAATGCTTATGGGTCTCAAACGCTATTGCAGTGCTTCAGGCATGTTTGCCGAAGCACGAATTAATACGTTTAATGCCATTCAAAGATTCAGAATCGCATCATTCATGTCCAGGGTTGGTGAGTGTAGAAACAGGATAATTAGTGAGTTTGCGGAAAGACTGCCGGCCACAGCCTTTTATCAAAAATGGCTTAAGATAGCTGCTTGACGTGATGGTTCCCTCCATTTAGACTTAGATATTATTATAATATAATTATTTTTAATTGTTAGTAATTCTGTACTGCATTGTCTTTTTTTTTGTTGGTAATTTATATGGGTGATATGTGCCTGAAATAAAGAGAATTCATTTTTTTTTATTTATTTTATGTACACACATTAAGGTACAGAAGCAGTCTTATAGTAATTACGTACAAAGGTTCTACTTGTTCCAAATTCGCTGAAATATCTTCCAGTAGACCAATAAAGGAAATTATATTTAAATTGCAAACTTAGTGCATACATTAGTACTACTAAAAATAAATAATATACACAATGTTACGGAAATTATATAAAATAAAACAATAAATAATAATAATAATAAATACGATAGTTACATATTTTATATATATATATATATATATATATATATATATATATATATATATATATATATATATATATATATATATTAACAGGATGCAAAGTAGTTATCTCTAAGACGTTTCTTGAATATCAACAAAGTTTCGGAATTTCTTATATTTGACGGTAGTGAGTTCCATAATCTTACCGCGTGAACTGAAAAGGAGTGGGAGTAAAAACCGGAATTAAAGACGGGAAAGTCAAGAAGATTTTTAACAAGGGATCTGCATGGTTTGTCCGGAGGATGGGTGAAGGAAAATCGGCTTCTGAGCTATGTGGGAGAGGAAGGGTTGTGCAAAATGTTATAGAGGACACATAACAATCGAGTGTTCCTTCGAAGTCGAATTGGAAGCCAATTGAGTTGCTTACGAAACTGAGATATACGGTCAAATTTCTTGAGCCCAAATATGAAACGGATACACTGATTTTGCAAGCGCTCAAGTTTATTAAGAAGCTCCTCTGTAGCATCCAAATAACAGGCATCCGCATAATCAAGGAGAGGTAGGATAAGAGTAAGCACGAGTGATATTTTAGCTTTAAGGGGTAAGAAATTTTGTAGACATTTAAGCAAATGCAAAGTAAAGTAAACCTTGCGACTAACTTCAGCGATATGCGTGGTCCATGTTAAATGGTGATCAAATATGACGCCTAAGTTTTTGACAGTATTGGCAAAGGGTATAGGAACGCCATTAAAACAAACAAAATGTAGTGATGTAAATTCTAATCTATTACGCAAATGCCTACTGCATATTATGATGGCCTGAGATTTCGTGGGATTAACTAATAGTCCGAAGGATGCAGACCATTCACAGATGCGGCCCAGATCTGCATTCATAGCTGCAATTGCATTATTTATCACCCACCGGAAAATGACGATAAAGCTGTAAGTCATCCGCGTAGAGATGGTAATTAGATGTAATAACACTCGTAGTAGAGTTAATAAATATGGAAAATAAAAGGGGGGGGAAAGAATGCCACCCTGAGGTACACCCGTAGTGATACCAGACCAATCGGATAGAGTGTCATTAACACGGACACAATGTGATCGATCACGAAGATATGAATCAAACCATGCGATGGCAGATGGGGAAATGTTTATAGATTCCAGGATCCGGAGAAGAATATCAAAGTCTACTGAGGTAAAAGCACTACTAAAGTCAAGCAAAACTAAAAGTGTAAGAGATTTATTGTCCATGGCCCAACGGATATCATCGGTTACTTTAAGTAAAGCAGTGACAGTGCTGTGTCCACGACGAAAGCCCGACTGATAAGTGGAGAGCAAGGAGTTAGACGATAAGAAGAGAGAGAGTTAACTATGGATGATGTGTTCCAAAACTTTAGAAAGAAAGGGTAAAATAGATATGGGACGAAAGTGGGACAAAGAAGAAGGATTAGAAACCTTAGGCAGAGGAATTATACAGAATGGGTCCCACATATATGCAATAAATGAAACCACAAGTAATACTAGTCCGTAGAAGTGTAGAAATATTAAATATTAAATTAAAACCCGTAAAATAAAAAAGTGAAATTTTCAAACAAAATAAATATTTTTCAGTAAAAGTGAACACTCTGTTTAGACAACGTACCTTGACCCCTTGGAA